GTTTCTCTTTTTCTTCCAAAACCATATTCTAAACGCCTTAGCTTGTCTTGCTGTGGGATACGGTATATACAGGGAATCCCTTGGTTAAGAGCGCCTGGGTTACAGACAACCCAGTTAAGAACGGAGCCTATTGTAGCAAAATTCATTGTGTTAAACACACAATGATTTGAGCTATACACAATGGATTGAGTTCATTACACAATGTTACTTATGCAGTATTATACAATAATACCATTCTGGCTTACATACACATTCAACTTAAGGACTGACCTTAGGAATGGAACTTGTTCTTAAACTGGGGACTACCTGTAGAAGGGAACCATTCCTGCCTGAATTTAGTTAGGCTTCAGCAGACAATTTTTCCATTGCTTTGTACTGTATTGTTCTCCAATTTCAGTCTCCCAATCTTGTATTGTCAGCAAGGTGGGTGTGCGTGTGTATGTCTTAATGGCCTTATCCTATCTCTGATTGTTCTGAACCCGCCTTAACAGGGAAAGGAAGAAAGAAAACTCTCATGAGAATAACCTTCTGGAGATGATGAGCCACCAGCCTCACCTGTCACCTCCCTTTAGTTTCTTAATCAAAGGGACTGATGTTCTTGGCCACTGAGTTTTCACTACCACACTTTTGCTAGTGGGTAGAATCATAAGGGTGGGTGGCAGCATAAGAGATCAACTAACCCAGTGTTTTTCAACTCTGGCAAGTTGAAGATGGGAATTCTGGGAGTTGAAGTCCATCCATCTTCAACTTGCCAAGGTTGAAAAACACTGATCTTACCCATCCCACACCCTGTTTAGGAAGTCAGCTCCTTCCCTGGCAGGCAGTCTTGCTTAAAGAAATTGAGACTTGGCCAAACCTTTCTATGTTTAATCTTCTCATTTCTATCCACCTTTTTTCTGAACTCAAGAGGGCAGGTCTGAAGGTTCTGGAAAGTCTGCCTGGTGAAGATCTGGTTCACCCACGGGGAGTGGCTTTTATTTGTAAATGCCCATCTATGCATTTACATGCCTCTTGCAAATCTTATGCAAATCCATATCCTCTTTGGTCATTTCAGGAGCTTTTGTTTTGTCTCAAGTAAAAGCCGCTCTTTATTTGCAGAGCAGGACATCTAGCGTCTATGTTTTTCAAGTACTCTCTTCCAACTCCCTTTGTCTTGGTTTCCAGTTCCAAAACCAAAACTGAAATGACAACCGTTTCTGGGCGAGGCAGAGCGCTGACAAAGGAGCTTGCATGAAATGATGAATCTCTCAGTGTTTATCTGGCCATGCGGGGAAGGCAGCGATGCAAAGATGATGCGTATAATATAAATATAAAAAATAGTCGATAAAGGTGACAGAAACTCAGATATTTTTATGGATTCAAATTCTGGGTTCAAAAGGCAGCGGTCACATGATATAATT